TGTGTGTGTGTGTGTGTGTGTGTGTGTGTGAGAGAGAGAGAGAGAGAGAGAGAGAGAGAGAGAGAGAGAGAGAGAGAGAGAGAGAGACGTGCAATACTGTTGGCGCAATGCGAATCAGGACACTGATCAGCTATACAAGTGATAAGCTCCGGTTGTCTGCTAGATCTCAGTGCGGGTGCCAGAATGCTTAAACCACCACTCCCCCAACGTCGAATTTGATCCTGCGCCTAGCAGCGGGGTGGGCTGGTAGGGTCGGCTGTGGGCGGTCATCTGTTTTTCAGAAAATGTTGAGTGCCCCGAGTTTGGTGATTTTCATGCTCAGAATAGTTGACGGGTAGATTATCTGCTCCGGCAGACATTCTGGACTGGTCAGCGTTTTAACAGTGGGCTCGGTGGGAATTTTTATTCTTTCAATCAATGGAGGTTTTTCTTTTTCAATTCGAAACGCTGTTCAACAACCAGACGGGTATTTTTCTTTTTTAATTATTATTTTAAACCGGGTTCAAAAAAAAACAAGTGGCTTGTTGGTTTCAGATAGCCTCCAGGAGGGCATACTCGCACTAGGCCTTTCCTAGATGTATCTGACCGCTTTTACAACCAGGCCTGAATGCATCTTTCCAGACTTACGTCCCGAGCTGAATCAAAAAGAAGTCCTAGTGTGAGTATGCTCTGAGACGACGAAATACCTTCTGGACGAGAGGGCAGCTGGAACAACAGGGGGTTTTGTGGTTGTTGCGACAATGTAGGGGATGCTTCTCCCCTGGGAATTTGCTGTCCCCTTGTTCTTTTCTCTCGTTCAGTCCAGATCTCTGGCTGTTGGCTGTTGTTTTGTCCGCAGTCTTTCCGTGTGGTTCGTTTGTTTGTTTGTTCGCTCGTCTTCCCCCCCCCCCCCCCTGATTTTGTTTTGTGGCTTTTTTCACCGTGGCAAGGGGCGAAACGTGTTGCACACATTTTCTTTTTGTTGTTGTTGTGGTTTTCAGTGGTCGCTAAACTTTGTATCTTTTACGTTGGCGGCGTGTTCTCGCCATTCTCTCTCTGATTGGCTTGTGTGTTGAGCAGTTTCTCCCTGCACCGGCCGCTGCTGCAGCATACCTTGCCCAGTTTTTGTCGTCGAAGAACATGATGTCTTACTTGATCCATGTTGTGGGAGTCGTCGCAACGGTGCTCTGGTTCCTGGTGAACCATTTCTGGCATGTCAGTGTAGCGATCGGCGGGCAGCAGCTGCAAGTGATTGTGATTCTTCTTGTGGTGAACGCCGCCATTGCGTTTTCGATCCCCGGGTTGGCGCTCGTCACCATGAAGCTGGCCAAGCATGTAGTCAGCGCTCTGCTGATCTTCCAGGGTGTGCTAGTCTGTGCGCTTGAGAACGTAATGTACAATAATAATCTGGAGGAGGAGGAGCTCTATCCCAGTTACCTTGTTGTGGCGACATCAGTGCTCGGGATTCTTGTCACACGGAGATTGGATAGCGATGGGAAGCTCGGAAGATGGCCGTATTGGATTCTGTTCTGCCTCTACATTGCAAAGCTGTCGATGATCGTCCTGACATCCAAGTATGTACTTTGGGAGATGACAGTGCTGCTGATGGCTGTTACGCCTTCCATCCTGTTGTTCAGGTGAGTGAACACAGCTCTCTTTTCCTTCTTCACTCCCGAGGTCATCCCTACGAGTCTCCTCTTCCAGTGCCTTGACGTGCAGAGAACGACAACCCTTGCTTGACCTGTGCAGAATGACAACCCTTAGGGTTGGCCAGCGTGTAGGTTGCTGGGGTGTGTGTGTTATCTTAAACTGATGACAACCCTTGGCCTGCGCAGAATGAGAACTTCACGGTCGGCCAGCATGTCGGTTGTGGGGGTGTGTTTTATCTTAAACCACAGGTACATGGCCGTGAAGTCGGCCAGCATGTCGGTTGTTGGGGTGTGTTTTATCTTAAACCACAGGTACATGGCCGCAGCCGACTTGGGAATCGCGATTGAGCCTGTCAGAAAAAAAAAAGCAGAGGCTAGGGGCGACCGGACCAAAATGGCTGGCAGCACCAGCCCAAAACTAAAATGAAAATGCCATGCTGGCATTTCGGCAAAGCTTGGCACATCAGCCTCGTACAGAGGAGGGGTGGATGTACTGGGCCTCTACACCACCGCGGCTTTTCTTGTTCCTGGACCCTGAGCCTGGGCCGGTATCCCCAACCAAACCTGTTTGGTTGGGGGATGGTTTTCAATTTTCACCAGGTTTGAACCTGTGCTGGGCCTGTTTTCCGAGCCTGGTTGGGGCCTGCCCCGGGGTGGATGTACTGGGCCTTTACACCACTGCTGCTTTTCTTGTTCCTAGGCCCTGAGCGTGGGCCGGTACTTGGTTGGGGGATGGTTTTCAATTTTTTGCCTGGCCTGTTTTCCGAGCCTGGTCAGGCCTGCCCGTTTCCAAAAAACTGGGAATTTTTTTGGTCGCGCAGCAAGAGGGTTGTTTTAAAGGTCATGTCTGCTCTCTGCACAGTGCCTTGTCCTTCAGCCCTGAGAGCCTCAATCTAAGACCGCGTCAGATTAAGGCCTCACCAAGATGTAGATTAGCATGGCCCCTGCGCAAGAATGACACGCATAAATTGAGAAAAAGTCCAAATTAAAAAAAAAAAGAAAAAAGATGTAGAATCGTGTGTCGAACTTCTGAACTTGTGGGTTAGAGAACAGAAGAAGGGGCAGGGTCCCGGCTGGCTCTCTGTTCATGCTTGCAAAGCATGCATCTGGGCATTGATAGAGACCAGGTTCGGCTTACTAGCTTGAACAGAGCAACAATGTGGCATGACCCAAAGGTCTTTGTCAATTCAGTGCAGGTGTGGACCACCTGTCTTCCGCCGAATAGAACGCCTGGTCGCTATTTTCAGTCCAGATACGGCGACCATGGCCGGGTGTTCTATCGGGGTGAAGTCAGCTGTCTGGCGCCATGGGCCGGACTGAAACTGTTCAATCTTGCCGTCCTCCAGTTTCAAAATTTTAGAATTTTCAAAATGAAGGAATCTCTTCGTTGTGAATGGATGTGTGTCAAATTTTCAATCTTTGCCCACCTGTCCTGATGTTTATGACAGATGCCAAACTCAAACCTCATGGTCTCAAATCTCTTTGTGCTTTTCCTTTTCTTTCTTTAATTTCTGTTTCACTTTTCCTTGTGTGTGTTTTGATAGACTTGTGTGTGTGTGTGTGTGTGGGTGTGGGTGCGCGTGCGCGTGTGTGTTTATGTGTCCTCCGTTTTTTCACGCATGTCAGTTGCTTTTGTTGCATTGAGAAAGTGGTTTGATATTTGCTCAACTGTTTTGTTCTTATCGGGTCCCGGATATTAGTCATAAGGGGTTCATAATGCCTTGTTTTTTTTTTGTTTTTTTTTTTTATGCCTTGTTTTTTTCTGTTTATGGCATTAGCATCTTTTGTTCTCTGCTTTTGACTTGTTGGTTGGTTGATTGCCACAAACACCTGTCTCTCTCGTATGAAATGCGGCATTGATGACATTACTCACTCGCACCTGAACTTTCGACGGGTATCTGGCCACAATTGCACTCAGATACATCCAGGACGGGCTGTAATTTATGCTCACATGCATCCAGGAAAGTCCTAATGAGAGTATGCTCTGGAACCATAAGGTTTCAACAATGTTGCATGGGTCCTGGGGACCATCTCACGCAAGTGTGTACATGCCATGCATCGTACTCCCACACACAATGAACAGTAGTCTGACAATAGACAAAGATAGAGAAGATGAGGACCGAGTTTCACAGTTTATATTATCAGAAATATGAATACAAAGTGTTTCAAAGTTCCCCTGAGTCCAGCGCTCGTCAGCGCAACACCAATATCTTGCCAACTCGTCAATATGCCTTCCAGTGAAT